AGGGTTAAGGATGTTGTGTGAATTTAAAAAAAGTTTTAGCTGAGTAGAAACTAGGGACTCAAGAATCTTTGATAACACAGAAAGATTTGAGATAGGACGATAATTATTTAACTCAGTGGGATCACCAGCTTTCAAGAGGGGCGATACCAGAGCTTGCTTCCACACAGCTGGCAGTGTGTGAGTGGACAGGGAGAGATTAAAAATATCAGTTACTGGTTGTGCTATAATCTGAGCTGCAATTTTTAAAAAGAACGGGTCGAGGCCGTCAGGCCCGGCAGACTTTTTAGGATCAATTGAGTGCAAATCCTGTAAGACTTCAGAGACCGAGAAAGAATCAAAAACAGGGGAGCTCATCTCTTGACTAGGGCTGTGAGTAGTATATTACCCACATGTCAATAGCCCATTTAAAATACCTAGCCATTCTTTTGCGGTTATTTTGGTGAAAGTAACTCATTACATTTCAGAGACAGTCATATTGTAATGTAACTTATTACTTTCAAAAGACAGTAATAATCTACATGTACTATATTACATTTTGGAAGTAACTTGCCCAACACTGGCAGTAATGCAGATGGAGTAATATATATAAATACAGTAATCTGTGAGTGCACGAGTCTGTAAACATGCAGACAGAATCAGAAGTGAAATAGTGCTGTAGTGATGAGAGGTTCTGAAGGCATGGCTGCATGAAGGTACTGCTGCATGAACCCCTCTGCTGTCCCTCACATCACTTCCTGTTTGACATCCTCTTTACTTCCTGTGTGCAGGTGAGCGTCCTTTCAAGTGTGAGACTTGTAACTACCTGGCAGCGAACCAGCACGAAGTGACCCGTCACGCCCGGCAGGTCCACAACGGACCCAAGCCTCTGTCCTGCCCGTACTGCGAGTACAAGACCGCCGACCGCAGCAACTACAAGAAGCACGTGGAGCTGCACCTCAACCCGCGGCAGTTCGTCTGCCCGCTCTGCAAGTACGCCGCCTCCAAGAAGTGCAACCTGCAGTACCACCTGAAGTCCAGGCACGCCGGCTGCAGCGTGGTGCTGGACGTCTCCAAGGTCAAGCTGCGCAACAAGAAACACGGCAACGAGGAAACCGCTGAATCCAGAACGGGCAAGATGGACCATTCATCCGGTGTGGACGAGGACTTCGACGAGGACGACGTAGACGAGGAGTCAAGCCCCGTCAATCTGTCAATCAAACCCAGCGCCAACCAACCGCTGCAGAGCGAGGCGCCGGACAAGGCTCTGAAGAAATCCACCAACCCTCCTGAGAAAGAGAAGGTTCTGAAGGGGAAGGTGGAACCAGAGAAGAAGGTCACGAGGCAGAAGAAGAACCTTCTAGAGACAGAGACTCCTGTCCCAGAGAAGGTCAAGAGACGTGTCAAGAAACCGCCGGTGGAGAAAACCACCACCAAGGACCAAGCTACAGGAACTGGAGAGCCACAGAGACCAGAGGAGCAAGAGGAGCGGATCCCTGAGAGGAAGAAGAACAATGGGAAAGAGAACAAAGGCCTCAGCAAGCCGAGGAAGTCTGCGTCAAAGAAGTCTGAGAAACCAGAACCAGTTAAGGAACCTGAGCAGTGCCCAGTCTCTCCTGAGGAACCAGAACCAGTTAAAGAACCTAACCAGAGCCCAGTCTCTCCTGAGGAACCAGAACCTGAGCCGAGCCCAGTCTCTCCTGAGGAACCTCAGAAGGAAAGGTCCAGGAAGAGGAAGGCAGTGGAAGCTCTGGACCTCTCCAAGAAGTCCTCGTCTGAGACTTCATCCAAGACCAGGAGAGTGAAGAGACCCGCTTCAGAAGAAATCAAGAAGACCAGCGAGGTGACCCGGGCCCCGAGAGGGTCCAACGGGACGAGTACTGGGAACACCAGGAAGACCAAGAAGACCAAGAAGTCCTCAGACCTTCAACAAACCCTGAAGGCAGAGAAGGACCAGAAGGCTTCATCCTCCAAGACAGGAACCTCCAAGACAGGAACCACATCCTCAAAGACAGGAACCTCCAAGACAGGAACCACATCCTCCAAGACAGGAACCACATCCTCCAAGACAGGAAGCACATCCTCCAAGAAAGGAACCACATCCTCCAAGACAGGAACCACATCCTCCGAGCCCTGCCTGACAGGAACCACATCCTCCGAGCTCTGCCTGACAGGAACCACATCCTCCGAGCTCTGCCTGACAGGGACCACATCCTCCAAGACAGAAACCACTTCCTTCAA